TAACGTATTTTTGTGGTATAATATCAATTTTTTAACTTTTTTTTCGGATGATGTGTGTTTAAAAAATACTTCTATTTAGCTGCGTATAAGCACAAAAAGGCAAAACCGAAAGGAAACATTGAAAAAAATTGAATATGTTCACGTGCCCTTGGATATCATAGACGTCGGATCAATGCTCCGGCAATGCTATAACATCTATGTAACTAACGGAGGCGGTTCAGGGCCCATCTTGGCCAGATGGTAGTATCTGCGGGGTAATGCTTTGGCTAAATCCCTCACTGGTTTCGACCGTCAAGCGACTGGCGCGGGGGCGGTGGCCTGTGGCCCAAGGGTGCAGGAGGGCAACAACGCGACTTTACCCCGAGTGTATTCCTCACATTTCAGAATAAAAATTGAATCTTTTTGAAATAAGACAAAACTATATATGTACTTCGAAGAAGGACATCCAATAGCAACAATAGAACTTGCCAAATAAATTAAGACTCAAAAATAATGATCGAAAAACTTAAAAATCCAAAAAACGTTTTTTTTCTGACACCTCTAAAAACATTTGATCGTGTCTGATTCTATATGTTGAATTCATGAAACTAAACGAAAGTTCGTTAATATGAGTTGAATGTTAAGCACTATTCACAGTACCAATATCTCCATCTTAAGTTGAGTTTATATCGTCAAATCGCTAGGGAGCGGGTTTACCCCAGTCTCCCCTATCAAGATTTTCTGGCTAGAGATTTGTAAAATTTTAGAATATTTTTTTAATAGGATTTGGCAAGTTTTTCTGATCAGTGAAGGACCAGTTTTTCTACATTGAATCTTAAATAATTCTTCAAATCAGTGACTGGACAGTGTCTCGAAAGAAATTCTTATCACGATTATGATAAGATTTTCTTGTCAGTGACTTGACAGAAGTACTGTTCATAAAGGAGAATTTATTCTATCCAGTGAAACTGGTCAGTTTCTTATTGAGGACAGGCCAGATTATCTTATTAAGTAAAACTCGATCTCAACTCGACAGATACTGGAAAAAAGCCAGTTTTCCTGGGACATTTTTTTACCTGGGAATTCGTAGTTACTTATGCATGTGCACTTTTTTAACTACGAGACCGAACGCGCGTGTTTTCTTCTTCTTTTATTTAATACTTATTTAAGTAATAAATCATATTAATCAATTAGTATTTAATTTATTAAACATACAATTCTTTATATACATAGTTTTTAACAATGTTAGATGTTCGTTGACTCCAAGAAAACTTTTAAGAGATTCCCTAGAACGAACTCTTGAAAATGCAACATATAATTGTCCACGATTAAATATATCTTTTCGTAAATCGATTCCAATCATATCAAATGTTTGACCTTGACTCTTATTAATAGTCATTGCATTCATTTTTTTCTTACACATTATAACACATGAAAATTAGAAATTAATTATTTAAATTTGGAAAATGAATTTTTGATATTTTGCTTTACAAAACATTCCTTATATCAGACTCATTAATATAAATTAATTAATAATAATAAATCATATTAACAATAATAGTAATAACAATTAATAATAATTATTAAAATAATTTATTAAAAATTTAGACAATTAATTAATTTATTACAAAACATACCTAAATATTATAATATAAAATAATACTTAGGGGAGACTGGGGTAAACCCGCTCACTTTTTTTCAGATCGGTAAAAATCTAGGAAATTATTCTCTAAATCCAAGTTAATTTATATCATTTGAAAGCTTATGATTTCTACTAAAAAAATAAAAAAAAGTTTTTGATTTATCTTTTTTAATTTTACTTAGAGAAACTTTTTAATACACATATACCAAATTTCTAAATCACAAATTTTCCAGGGTAAATCCGCTCACTTTATCTTTTCAAGACGGAACAGTTTTATTTTTTAAATATTAAAATTTTTCTTATTCCTGTCTTAAGTATGATTTATTATTGATAAACTATGAGTTCTATACACAATTCTATAAACAACAAACTGGTTTAATAAATAATGAATATAGGTTTCATGAATTACAACTATGGATTTAAATAATGTTATATTTTATTAAGAGAAAGTGAAATTTAGTTATAATTTTGGTTTTAACAAGTCATAAACTTTATTATTGTTAAAATATAATACGTGAAATTATTTTATTCTAAATATAAAATTTAAAACTAAGTGAGCGGCTTTACCCTGAGTGTATTCCTCACATTTCAGAGTAAATTTAATTAAATCTTTTTGAAATAAGACAAAACTATATATGTACTTCGAAGAAGGACATCCAATAGCATCAAAAAAAATTTGCCAAATAAATTAAGACTAAAAAATAATAATAGAAAAACTTAAAAATCTAAAAAACGTTTTTTTTCTGACACCTCTAAAAACATTTGATCGTCTCTGATTCTACGTTGAATTCATGAAACTAAACGAAAGTTTGTTAATGTAAGTTGAATACTATCCACAGTACCAATATCTCCATCTGAATTGAGTTAATATCGTCAAATCGCTGGTAAGCGGGTTTACACTGAGAGCGGGTTTACCCCAGTCTCCCCTAATAATATAATCCTATTATAAAACAAAAAAATCAACACAAAAATTAAACAATTACTTCTTTATTTAAAAGTTCAAAATATTTAAAAACTATACGTGACGCGTACGTGACGCGTGACAGGTATGACACATTCGGAATTGATCGTACGTGACCTGTGACAGGCGTGACACCCTCACAATTAATTATACGTGACGTATAACAGATGTGACACATTCGAAATTGATCGTAGGTGACGTGTGACAGGTGTGACACATTAGACATTGATCGTACGTGACGTGTAACAGATGTGACACATTCGAAATTGATCATATGTGACTTGTGACAGGTGTGACACATTAAAAATTGATGGTACGTGACGTGTGACAGGTGTGACACCCTTGAAATTAATCGTACGTGACGTATGACAGGTGTAACACATTCAAAATTGATCGCACGTGACGTGCGATAGGTGTGACACTTTCAAAATTGATCGTACGTGACGTGTGACAGGTGTGACACATTCAAAATTGATCATACATGACGTGCGGCAGGTGTGACACCCTTGAAATTGATCTTACGTGACGTGTGACAGGCGTGACACATTCAAAATTGATCATACAGGACATGCGGCATGTGTGACACCCTTTAAATTGATCTTACGTGACGTGCGGCAGGTGTAACACCCTTTAAATTGATCTTACGTGACGTGTGACAGGTGTGACACATCCATAATTGATCGCACGTGACGTGTGACAGGCGTGACACACTTTACATTGGTCATACGTAACATGTGACAGGAGTGACATGTGACAGGTTTGATCATACATGACGTGTGACATGTGTGACACCCTCAAAATTGATCGTACGTGACGTGTGACATGTGTGACACACTTGGAATTGGTCATGTGTGACATGTGACAGGTGTGACATTTGTGACATGTGACATGTCTGTTCTTTTTTAAATAGGATCTGTTCTTTTTTAAATAGGATTCTTTTTTCAATGCCAATTAAAGTTTTTTTGTGATCTAAATTTTTTTTAGCTGTATGAAAGATTAACTAGGTACTAAATAAAAAAAAGTTATATAAACATTAACATTAAAATCTTCAATTGATTATTTGAAAGTGACTGATTTTAAAACACATAGTAATACCCACAAACACCTTAAATATTTGTATTTTACTTTTATGTAAGTCTGTTGAAAAAGGAGTGCAAAAATTTATTCTAGTCATTTATAAAAACGGAAAAATTATCATTTTTATTTGACGAAAAACTGCATAGGGTAAGTCCAAGGGAGATGGCCAGTTCAAATATTTTATAGAATTTATAAAAAATTATCACTTATTGGGTTATTCTTCAACCTTTTGTGACTACTAATAAATGTAAACAACAAATTGTCGAAAAATAATAAAAATGTAAGTGTAATCCTTTAACATTTTTTTTTGCATGGGTCTAAAATAATATTTGAGAATTTCAGATTTCTTATTGCTATATTGTCATTTTTTAACATATTTATTAATTTTAAGTTAAATTAAGTAGTGAATAACCTACGCTTCGATGTAAACAAAAAATGAAAGGAAAAATTATTTTATTTATTTAATATTTTGATGTTTACTTTTGTCATGTAATATTGGGTAAGATGGCTATTAATGACTGTTATTTAAATTTTTTAATGTTTATGTTAGATACTTAAGAAGTATTAAGGAAAACCAAATTAAAAATGTCTGAGAACAAAATAATTCATCTAATTGACACCAGAAATGGAGATATATTTGTAGGTTGAATTTACAATCAAACGACATTGAATGAAGATTGGATTCAGCGAAGTATTTGAAATTTTTGGCTACATGAAAACTGCACTGCACTGAATTCCATGATAAATGTTTAAAATGCTACCACAATAAGAGAAAAGTAATTTGAACGATTAAAAATTAAGTTTAAGCTGAAAGTAAAAAATTATAAGTATTGTCCATCTCTCCCGCATACATGTGGCCATCTTTCCCGGACATTCCGGGAGAGATGGCTAAATGCACTTCTTAAAAAATGTAAATTTTTAGATTCTTTTTATAAAAATAGTTTATTTTATTTTTCGTTGCTTTAAAGTTAGGTGTTCAATGTTTAATTATCAATAAAAGTTTACACAAAAATCGCATTTTTATCATTTTTACAGTGCTTTAAAAAAACTATGTCCATCTCCCCCTGACTTACCCTATACCTATAGCTATAAACACCTGTGCGCACCCTCTCTTATTCTGGACTTAGCTTGACTGTACTTTAAACATGTGCTCGACTTACGATAGCGCTAATATTATGTGAACTATGCTAAATGTTCATTGAATGGGAAGTTTCACTCAATAGACGATTCAGATTTCGATTGTTTCAATATAGACATAACAATTCGTTTAGTACTGAAATGTACAATACTATTTATATTCTATGTCATTTGTAAGAAGCTAAGTAAAATTGGTTAGAAAATATCTCCATAACAAAATAAGTCGAAAGAATGGAATACTTAGTAAAGCCTCAAATTATTTGTCACATTGAGAAATCTGTGAGCTATTCCCTATTTGATGCAAAATGGATTCCTTCTAGTGCAAAATTTGTAACCTTCGGGTCAAAACCTCGAGGTACTGGCATAATACAAATTTATGAAATTGCCGATGGTGAACTAAAAGTCATTAAAGATATTCAGCATCCAAACTCTATTAAGTGTGGTACTTTTAGGGCATCAAATAATAGTGATCGGCATTTTGCAACAGGAGATTTTAAAGTAAGTACATTTAACTATTTTTCATGCCTTCCAATCAGCTTAGTTAATTGTATTCGAATCATAAGTCATAAAGTTTAGCATAAGATATATAAAAATAGAAGAGGTCACTCCAGTTTTTGACTTTTATTTTACTTACATAAAATATTACAATATTTGTTTGAAAAAAGAATACAAAGATTTCGAAATCTGAAACGTAGAATAGTTATAATAAATAACTAAGTAAAGTACCTCATGTACTCATCTCCCATGGCAACGTATAACGGAAAGTATTATGCCAATAAGAATTTTGTATTAGGTGGAACCTTCATAATATTAACGTGATTACGCATTGCATATAAAAATCAATGTTATTGAAGACTCAAAATTGATAAATTTGTCAGTTATTGAACATACCAATATAAACAAATACATTTAGAGTAGATTTGTTAAATTTTCAGTATTTTAAATGTCAACAATTTCTCCACTGTTAAAAAATAAATTAATATTATTAAAATAAAGTGGGTGAATAATGAAGCAGTTTATAACATAAATTGATTATTAATATAGGAAAGCATTATAATGAGTTGAAAATTGAGTCGGTGTCGTTTTGCAACAAAAGTTGTTTTAAAGAGATTGTTATAGTACAAACCTGAGATATTGTTATTTTGTAGAGCTTTACTGTTAAAATGTAAATTGTTATTTTATACAAGTTAAACTAAACTTAAAAATTAACTAAATAAAGTATTTTCTTTATAAAATATTCTAAAATAATATTTCGAATGTTCATTTAATTTTTGAAAATAGATAAATTTTTTTTTTGGTTTATATTTTGAAAGAAGATAAAATTTTGGAAAGAATAAGACCTTAACAGAAGTCATTTGGACAACATTTGTAGAAGATATTCTTAAAAATCGTCATTTTCAATGTTTTACAAAAAATTAAATAACTTCCAAAATAATGAACGCTTTTCAATAATCTTAGGCTTATTTTAAAGGTCATTTTCTACGGAATAATAATTACTTATAGGCATTAACCTGTAATCTTTTATTTAGAATAAGCATGACGTCAAAGTTGGAGAAAAAAAATTGGAAAAATTTGAAATCAATTTTTTGTACTAAAAACTATTCTAGAACATATAAAACATGATATGGTGTAGATTTTTCAAGAAAATTTAATAAAAATATATGTTTGAATTTCAAAAATTATTTTTCTTTTAATAATATTATTTCAAATTTTTTGAATTTTTTTGTCCAACTTTGACGTCATGCTTATTCTAAATAAAAGATTGCAGGTTAATGCTTATAAGTAATTCTTATTCCGTAGAAAATGACCTTTCAAATAAGCCTAAGATTATTAAAAAGTGTTAATTATTTTAGAAGTTATTCAAATTTTTGTAAAACATTGAAAATGACGATTTTTAAGAATATCTTCTACAAATGTTGTCCAAATGACTTCTGTAAGGTCTTATTCTTTTTAAAATTTTATCTTCTTTCAAAATATAAGCCAAAAAAAATTTTAGTTTTCATGAATTTTATGTTAAAAAATTTTTTTCATTCCTTTAAAAATGGGTGGACTGACAATTTCGGACGGTACTGTATATCCCAACATCAGGACTTCCGTTTCACTATCTATTGAGAGAACTCTACAACTAACCATAGTTAATAAAATACTCTTCGAAGTCAGACATAAACAATAAAAATCCATAAGGGCTCAAAACTACACCTCGAAACACTCCCTGTTTAGTTTTAACTTTATCCGTCGTGCCCTTTCTTGTTCTAATGCAAGTTGTCAAAGAATTATAGAAATCTCTCAATATATTTATTAATTTTGTGCTCAACCTTAAAAGATGCAATTTATTTCATAAGAATGAGTGATAAACGGATGGAAAGTCTCTCTTAAAATCAATGAATGCTGCGTAAACCACAGCTTCAGGTGTTCTTAAGTGTATCTGTATACAATACGCAAGAGTGAATAAATTGTCCATGCAACCTCTATGCTTTCTAAATCCGAAAAACCTTTAGAAAGACTATTAGTTAAGCTGATTGGTCTATAGTTATCAGGATCTTCCGGATTTCCTTTTTTAAACAGCATAGAAGTATATGATTTACACTATTGCTTAGGGACAGATTCCTGACACATAATTTTATTAAATAAACATTCAATATATAGGATCCAATTTTGTGGTAAGTTCTTATAAAATTCATAACTAATACCATCAATTCCGGAGGTCTTTCCATTCTTACAAGATCCTGAACTTTTGTGAATGTCTTTGGTAGAAATAGGCTGGTTTAAAATGGGATGAGATATATGTAAAAAAGTGTGATCAATATTGGAAATCACATCTAATTTCGGGAAAAAATTTACATAGATATTCAAATCAGACATTCAGACCGCCAGAATCATGTTGCGCTCTTTTCTTAGGTAATTAATTTATACCTTTCCAAAATTGAGTGGAATTTTTACAATTTGCAATTAATTCAGTTCTCGCTTAAAAAATAACTTTTTTTATTCTTCGAATTTTTTGGAAGAAGTTTTTTTTCAAAATGTTGAATTGATAAATTATAATTTGGTTGTCCGAATTAAAAATAACGTCAACATGATAAAATTTTGTGTTATAAACAATGAAGAGTCAAAAAAGGTGGACCTTTAGCTCTACTATAAACACGCAATCTCTTTTGGCAGGCAGACAAACAGTTTCAAAACAACTATTAAAGAAAATACTTACTACTTCATTCTCGCTACAGGATTCAGATACACATAAAATGTCACTTTCTATTGGAATTACAAAAATTAATATACTAAACTATATATATATATATATATATATATATATATATATATATATATAGACATGTATTTCTTTTCATTTGTCTCCTTAGCAACTGTATAGAATCAAATGCTTATAACTCCTCCGAATTTATTTATAATATAAAATCAAATAAGGTCCTATGGGACCAAACTCCGCCAAAGCATTAGTCAGTCGCTCGTCCGCTCTCTTTTAATAAAGACTTACTTTAAATTGATTATTGTCTTTTATTAAGTTATATAATTATTTGTTTCTTTTATCCAATACTTTCATTCATCACATTAATAATATCTAATAAATTTTTGACAGCATGTATATTCCAAAACAATATCTTGCCAGGAGCAACAACACTCAATGATCGATGAACGGTAACACCTGGATCCTCACTCACTAACCTGTGTCGCTGCTATTCATTTTCCATCAACACTGTAAAAAGAAAGGTACTAATTTAGTACCAATTTTGGGTACTAAATCGTCATTGGGTTCTATTTTAATACCGAAAATCAGCTCTAATTTAGAACCTTTTATTTACAGTGAAATCTAAGTTCTCCGTTAATAAGAGGGGGCCAATTTTTGAGACATTGGCGTTGGATTTAAAAGTGGGATCATGAATTTAGAATTTATTTCTTCTTTGTTGAAGCCTTTAAACTTTCTCCATTAGCCTTCCTCTTTCTTGTTGACAAAGACGGAGAAGATGACCATTAATTAACTGGCGAGTCACGAGCTATATTTTTGTTTCCTTTAGTTTGATTACTTTCAGATCGACGAGTTGACAATAGGTGATACACCGCGTCAGCATTTATAGGTTTACCTTCAACTACACTGGTTTACAGTGAAATTGTCAATCGAACAAAACATTTTTTTTTCGAACAGTAGGTGTTTTTTGAGTAAGAAAATAATAGTTTTATTTTTTTTCCCTCGTGCAGTTTTTCTGTAGCTTCAAATTTTTCATTTTCGAGGTTCAACGCCACTTAAACTTACCTGTAGGAAAATTAGCTTTTCAAAATATAGTAAATGAGGTGTCATTGGCAAGGTTAAATTACCTAATTAACCATTAATTGGTAATTTAATTACCATTAAATTACCTTTCGATCCATAGGTCACAGAATAAAATTCAACGAAAATTGAAAGAGTTACAGTCGATTAAAGATGAAATTTCTTGACAATTTTGATAATTTTTAGACATTTGAGTAACTTATACTATTTTTTTCTACATCAAACAGGAAAGAATGTTTGGTTTTTAATTTTTTTATTGATAGACTATATCATTACACAAATTTTGAGACCTTGTGGACCTGGATTGGATTAAAAATGAAAATTCTAGACTAAATTTAGTAAACGAAACTACTTTGTTTATTTTTAGTATCCCTTAAACATTTGCAGCAAAAATTCAAGTAATAAAATTTAGTTAAGCGCTTAAGTTACTAAAATCACTAATCAAGGATTTCTGAAATCGTAGATTTCGAATGCAATAATAGTTTTGCAAATTTCAAAATGGCGGATCCAATATGGCGGGCAAGTTTATAAAAATCAATGAAATTCGTCTTAAATTCGTGCACGCATTGTTATCTGGGTTATTGATAATTCAGTTTGAACGTCTAACTGTTGACACCTGTAGTACCGCCAAAAGTTTTGCTCTAGGAAGAGCTCTATCTCCTGTTAAAATACGTGTGGGGTGTTTGGACACCCCAGTTAGATTTGGTCTAGAAATGATAATTATAGATGTTAAAGTTGTTTGACTTCAAAGATGTTTGTATTTGCCATTCAGTCGCTTAGTGTAATTTTATATAAAATTTAATATTTTATAAATTTCGCTATATTGACGTACTCGGTATATTGACACTGTTGAGACGCAAGTAAATGCATCTACATTTCTTCGTGGTGCACACCAGCAAGAATTAAGTTCTCTATTCGAAGTCCTAGACATCGATTAAACATCTACATAGCATCTAAGACGTCGAATAGACCTTTGCGGATGAGCAGCCGAACTCTGCGCAGTAGACGTCTAATATACAACAGTTTCGACGTCTATATAGATCTCGATTTAGATTCCACATATATAGATGTTTTAGACGTTCTATAGACATAGACAAAAATAATGCATGGGACCAGCTGTTATTTTTGCCCATGGGAGAATATGAATGATGAGGCGCATGAATATTCCCTAAATGACATTTGGACGAACTGTTATTTTAACGAAATGTCAATTGATGGAAATACGTCAGGAGTGTTTTGAAAGGAAATGGATGCAAGAATGAGTGTATCGAGGATGGCATCGGGAGCTGTGGTAAGAATTGTACGAAGTTCAAAAGTTAACTCTTGGAAATCGATCAAAGTTTTACTCAAAAGTCTTGTCATCAGTATTTTATATTATGCTTTGGAAATGTGGGGCTTAAGATATCTTGATGAAGTGGAAAGAATCCAGACTGTTTTTATTAAAAAAGCGTTAGACCTGCCTTTGTATACACTGAATTACGCGTCCTGATTAGAAACAAACAGTATGCAACTCGCATTTAGTATATTTAAGAAAAGTTTGGCGCGGTATGAAAAAGTCTTAAAGATGGAAGATTTCCTAAAATTTTCTTAGAGAAATAAAGTATTTTAGAGTTTGAGCATCCGCATGAAATTAAATACAATTGGCTTCTATAAGTAAAAAAATGATTCGCTAATTGCAATTCTATGGAGCTGTGAGAGAGAAATTGTACAGAATAATTATTTTAACTATTTAAAACAATTGGACACCTTAAGGCTGAAAAATTCAGAAAGCCTGCAAATACTCTCGTATCTACCTTGTGGTGTGTGGAATATGGAAAGCAGTGAGTCCTTGTTTCACATTTTAACAGAGTATCGAATATAAAATGACTTGAGATGTTCCATCTTTCATCAACCTAGGAAAGTTATACATAGTCCTCAATATTATATGTATTTATTGGAATCTAACTTGTTGAACGAGTTACAAAAATTGTCTAATTTTATTGTATCCCTACTAAGACTGCGTACTTTTATATTGGAAACTTGATAAGAACGTGTGTTTGATTCTCCTGTGAATTGAATGAGTGTGTGTTTCTTATTGTATTGGCTTCATCAAATATTGGAAAGAAATGAACTGATAATAATTGTATTGCAATATTTGTATTTGTAATGGTTTTTTACCTATAAACAAATAAATTGAATTGAATTATTATGCCATTCGATAGAACGCATACGAAAACAGGAAATGATGATTTCAGAATTTTTCTATTGATTTCTAAGTGTCTTGGCCCTCTCTATGGAGTTCATCCTTGACGTCACCTCTGCACTGCAAAAAGAAGTATCTTATTTAAGATGTATTGGTAGTCATTTCTAAGATGTTTTGGTAGTCATTTTTAAGTTATTTGAAATATCATAATTTAAGATGTTTAAAGTATCTTCGTACACGTACATTTTCATCATATTTTTTGGGAAAAAAGTTTTGAGGTTAACTATGGGCTTATATGTAAGACATTTTATGCATCTTAGTTTTTAGTAACTTAATTTTTTTTCGCATCTTACAATTCACAAGTATCTTATCGCTAAACATCTTATTGAGACAGAAACATCTTAATTTAAGATACTTTAAAAAACTTACAGAAGTATCTTACTTTTTTAAGATAGAAGAAATATCTAAGACGTATAAAACATCTTAAAAATCAGTAAGATACTTTAGAAAACATCTTATTTTAAGATGTAAGATACCATTTTTCCATCTTACATCTTATTTTAAGATATCAAATAAGACACTTATTTTTGCAGTGTGGCGTCGAAAACTGTAAACACTCAGGATTGTACATTGAATAATAAAAATGTGTCATTTTGTACAATGCATATTTTAATATACATTCTAATATATTTTATTTTTGTATGCATCTAGAAGATGTCGGATAATAATTAATAGCTTTTATTAAAAAATACCGTAAACTGGGGCTATTAGGAACAGATTTCAACTTTAAAGTCTTGCAACTTTTTTGTGTATTGAAATATTGCCTTAATTTTTTGTTTTTTTTCCTGATCTTGGCGAGCACATTGAAGGGTTAAATAATTATCTTGATCAAAGCTAAAATTTTAAGCAAAAAAGACGAAAAAGACGCATTTATTCAAAATTACAAAATGGGGCTATGGGGAACAAGGTGGTAAAAACCATTGGAAAACGTATTTAAAGTTAAAGAAGTTATTTTTTATTGCTCGAAAGTAAACACAGAATATAAAACAAATGTAAAAACAAAACTAAAAGAGCGAATGTGTGTTTTAAACGTTGCTGGTATCATCAGTTGAGGTCGATAATGGAATCACTGGTCGTTTTTTGCGACTTGTCGGTACCAACATTCTTTTATAATTTCGAACCATCTTTGAACACTAAAAACCAAATTAGGTGATAAAAAACAAAAGAAATTACGAAAAACTTACGTTTCGACAACACACTTTAACAATTCGGAAGAAATAATTGTGAATTTGTGAATTTTGGTTTTTTTTTCTAAAATCTTACTGTAAATACAAAATAAACGTATTTATTACTTAGTGAACTCAATAAAGTTTCCCATAAGAAATATTATTAATAAAAAACAATTACTTTGAGACGTTAAAAATGAAACAACTTACATCACCAATCAAATGTTTTCCACGTTTGAAACTTTACTAAAACACATTAAGTCACTTACAAGCTACTATTGTTCACAAAATAATTAATAATCACAATTATTGCATTGAAAAGTGTTGCCAGTTACCGCAGCAACAATTTTTCAATAGCACGTAACACAATTTATCGATAAACGGCGCCGATAGCATCAACAATAACAAAACTACAATATTTAAACGTAACGAATATTGATCAAAGGAACACTCAAAACATACGCTCCTGTTTCGATTTTTTCAATTTCGTTAACGCCTATCTCTCTCCTTCTGTCTCAGTGTAGTCATCAAACTTTATGACAAAATTTTGCACATTTAGGCGTTAAAGGGTTAATAAATCTTTACTTTTTTATGCATAAGTTACAGTAAAATTATTGAAGAATACGACTAATTTAATTTTTAATTTAATTAATTAATTAAAAATTCTTAATTTGTGTAACAAACACTGAAATTTTTTGTTTATAACAAATTTTTTGGAATTGACCATGGGGTTTAAGATTAGTTTTATTATTTATTATTAACCCTTTAGGACATGAGACCCTAAGATGTAGGCGCATGTCACCTGCTCTACTCACTGATTTTCTTTCAAGTTATGATCAATGTTTTAATTTCGATTAACTTCGTTTCAAATTAAATATAACTATTGACCGACATTATTTAAAACCTTTGTTTCTCTAACAACGTTAAATAACGTATTATTAATTTTTTTAGGGAAAACTACAGATATATGACATAGAAAACCCAGCAATACCTATTTATACAGCTAATGCGCATAAGGAAATCATTAATAGCATTGACGGAGTAGCAGGAAATAAGATTGGTATGGGTCCACCTGAATTGGTTACAGGATCTAGAGATGGTGCAGTAAAAGTTTGGGATCCACGTCAAAATGATCTTCCTGTGGCAACAATGGAGCCGAATATATGTGAGGCTCGTAGGGATTGTTGGACTGTAGCTTTTGGTAACTCTTATAACTCGGAGGAAAGAATAGTTGTATCCGGTTATGACAACGGCGATATTAAAATGTTAGATTTAAAAACAATGTCACTCCGTTGGGAATGTAACATTAAAAATGGGGTATGCTGTCTTGAATTTGACAGAGACGATATTTTGATGAACAAGCTGGTCGCAACAACATTGGAATCAAAATTTTATGTTTTCGACTTGAGAACGCAGCATCGCAAGAAAGGATTTTCTTATTTGTGCGAAAAGGTATATTTATGGGTGAAAATTTGAGTAGTGGGCCTCGAATTTTTCAAGGATTGCAATATTAAATTTTATTTTATAAAAATAAAGTACTAATGGAGAGGAAAATATTCAGTAAGTTTGATTTTAAAATATTTATTTGTTTAATTTTTATAAACAATTGAATTTACTTGAGTAAATGTAAAGGTAAATGTAGCCAAATTGATATTTTACGACGCATGTCTATTTTGTCACCGAATGAATGACTCCCGAAAGTTCTTTAACTTCCGAAATATCCGATAATTGTGCTCTTGATAAACAATCAGCCACTAGCATTTATTTTTTTGGTTTGTAAACAATGGTCATTCGCGAATATTTGAGAAGAAACATGAACATACTTTGAAGACGCATTGTTACGTCATCAATATCATGTTTAACTAGAGGTTTATAATCGCTTTCAACGATAAAATCTCGTCCGTAAAAAACGAAATGAAACCGTTCACAACCGTTTCACGATAGCTAGGATTTCTTTTTCGATCTGTGCCCACTTTTGTTCATTTGTACTAACCCAGTAAGAAGTAAGGAATTAATAAGAATTCGAAATTTTTAATTCTTTTGAATTCCGTTTGTGACCAATTCTCTTCATTTTCATTTGGAGAAGCCGAAAAGAAGCTAAGTTTATTCTTTTGAATACCGTTTTAATATTTTAAGCGGAAAAAAAATTTGACGGTTCGAAAATTTGAACCCTCAAGCTTCATTGTCGGAGACAAACAGCTTGTCCGCTCAGCTATTTAAACTGTACTATGACTACCGAATTTTAGAAGCACTTATCTCAAAGTGTTGCAAACTTCAAAGGAATTAAAAAATTACAAAATATTAAAACGGAATAGACAGGAATTGAACTTAGCGAGTATCACACAGTATTTCGGAATTCACAAAAATTAAGAAATTAAAGAAATATTAAAACGGAATTGATTGGAATTCACTTTCAAGAAATCTTTGCCTCAAAAAGGAATACATAGGAATTGGACAGAAACAAAATTAAAAAAATTGATAATTTAACATTTTCTGTAAAAAGTTAAAAATGTCCAATTCTTCTCAATTCCTTACTTCTTACTAGGAAAGGTTTAAGACGCGAAAGCGACAGGATGTCCATTTTAAACGAGCACACAACCGAGTACATCCTTGGATTCATCAGTCTGAACGATTACTGGCAGCTTTGGATCATAAATGGCTAATACTTGTTCAGAAGTTACAATAGGGGAGACTGGGGTAAACCCGCTCACTTTTTTTCAGATCGGTAAAAATCTAGGAAATTATTCTCTAAATCCAGGTTAATTTATATCATTTAAAAGCTTATGATTTCTACTAAAAAAATAAAAAAAAGTTTTTGATTTATCTTTTTTAGTTTTACTTATTGTTAATAGTAGTGTTATACTTGTTTTAAACATGGAAACTCCCAATTCCGTTTACTGTTCACTGACCGCTATGACAAAAAAATTCATAGTTTAAAAATAACTATCTCGATCTATCAAATTTTTCTTTGAGATATTTCACCCTTGATTTATTTATATAGTTAAGGATTCTGAAAAAAATTTCTACGAAAGACATCCAGAACACACTTAATTATTATATTCATTTGTTTAATGTTAACAATGATTTTTTACAATAAATAATTTTGTTTAACAATGCAAAAAAAGTGTTTTGAAAAGCACAAATCTTTATTAATTTTGTGTAAAATTTTCATTAAAAATCGACATTCCTTCTCTAAAAAATAGAAGTTTCAAAAAAATGTTACATTAATATTTAATTGTTTATAAGAAATAAACAAATGAATATTTTTAAGCACAACTGTCTCTCTATTATCACTTTATTTTTATGAAGTTTACTATAGAAATTGTAATCCTTAGAAAATCTAAGGCCCACTTCACAAATTTTTAATCTTATACATTATATTTATTATTCATTAACTATTATTTATAACTTAGGTGATAATCATCTTAATTCAGTATCGCTTTTAAGAATCGATATAACGATATAGGGTAAGTGTACCAATTGCCGAGGGTGTTCCATTTGTCGATGTTACCATGGTAATAACCAAAAAATATTGTCTAAAATGTCTCATTTATTTGTGGATATAATATTAATATATTTTTTTCACATTTATAACGCATAAAAAAATTAATATTTATTACTTTTTTTCATTTACAATGTGATACAATGTTTAAATAAAATTCAAAGTTTGTTTACTCGACAACAGGAACCATCCTTGACAATTGGTACGTTTACCGTATGAGGATTAAGCGGCCAAAAGTGTAAAAGTCAATTTTGTACTATTTCGAGCAATTTAAACAAATGTAGTTTGACACATAACCAAAGTTAATTTTAAAGTAGAAAAAATATATACTGAATTATTTATATCTGAATACTTTTTTGGACTTAGAAGTCTCATTATAAGTTAAAGTGAATTATAGATAATGAATTATATATAGTTTTGGGCATTTCTTAAGTTAGAAAGACTGAAAGTTTAAATCTTGTTAGTTAAGTACAAATATTTTTAAATCAATATAATTCTTCTTTAACAATTTTTTTCTAAATGTAGCAGTGATTATTTGGAAATTTAATTAATTACCATTCTCGAAAAATGCATTTTTAAAAAAATGGACTTATCAACTTTTAGCCGATTGCTCCTCATATGCCCATATGCTCATTGAGCAATGCTCATGATCACATGTCACAACCCTACATACATGATATATATAAGAACTTTTCTGAGATAATATTAAATTTGTGCTTTTTTGATAGGTTCGTGAAAAAATTACACGAAAATTTCTCATGTGATCATATAACATGCAAATGAAATATCATGATCGCCTGAGAGATTTTATGTAATCGGTATTGGTTGTGGGCACACCCGCAAATATATATATATATATATATATATATATATACTAGGGGAGCAGTAAATATATTATATTTTGTGATCCAATACCAAGAATATAACAATGTTGACAAAAAAAAAATGTTCGGTTGTGGGCACTTAAATTAATTCGATTGTGAACACCATACTCTTAACCTTGACAAATCGTGAAATATAATCATAAGTAGTTTCTTACAACATTTAATAGCGTTCTATGAATTTTAAGAGTCTCGTGATCCAGCACAGAAATTCTTATAACGAGACTTTTATGTACTTGTCACAGTTTAACATCCCTTCCCCATTTTGGTTTTACTTTCACAGTGAGTGCTGTTCATTCGAAGCTAGTATAGCTGTAAGAGAGTAAACTAGATAAATGTTATAACGGGATACGCGCTATTCACTTAACGTGGCGCGTATCCCCTTATAGCACCCAGACCCTTAATTAGTTTCAAAATCATAATTTAAATAAACTATGTTACAGGCGCATAAGTCAACTGTCTGGTTAGTTAGACATTTACCTCAAAATCGGGATATTTTTGCTACTTGTGGTGGTGGTGGATCTATTTGTTTATGGAAATAGTAAGTATCTTCTTCTCATTTTTTACTCATCTATAAATGTTGTAGAATTTTTATCTAAATCTGAGAGAGATGGAACACTGTTCTGTCGCAGAAAAATATTTGTACATTGTGTAATTTTATATGTATGTTATAAAATATAAAGTAACAATTTTGCTAATAATTTGTTCTCCCATTGATATAATTGAATATTTATTATTCAAAACTAGTAAAAATTAATGTTAGAGTACTCCTTAAATTAAAAAAATTGTACAGTTAAAATTTTAAAAATTATAAACAAATTAAGTTAACAAACATTTACAGTTATAACAAATTGTAAATTAAGACAATGGCTTTGATGGATTTTGATGAAATTCTTTACTTAGAAGTTTTCGGGGTTGCTGATTACGAATCCGATGTTAGTTTTTTAAAACTCAAAATGGCGGATCCAATATGGCGGATGTCAAAGTTAAAAATTTATCTGATTCACTTGAAAATTGTTACTCGGGGGTTTTCTGGGTCGCTGATTACGGATCCAATGTTAGTTTTTTAAAATTCAAAATGGTGGATCCAATGTGTCGGACGTCAAATTTAAAAGTTCATCTGATTCATTTGAAAATCGTTACTCAGGGGTTTTCTGCGTTATTTATTACGAATCCGATATCATAGCATCCTATTCAAGATGCATGTTTTCTAATATTAATTAATTTATCTTTAATGCAGTATTAGAGAAATGTTTATATATGCCTGAAGAGGATGCTAACGTTGGCATCAAAATTTCGCGTGGACGACTGTTATATTAACTTTTGTTTTAATAAATGGAAAATCATTTAATACAGAATTCCTGAAAAGTTATTTGTTCATGAATTGATTACCTGGATGTACAAACTTCTTTAATGTAGAAAATATGTAATTTGAATGTTTTCTGAATTTTGGTTACTACATAAAGAAAAAATCAATATTACTCGATAGACATTAAAAACTCAAATTAAATGTTTTTTAGATATAAAGCTATTTTTATGGATCTTCGCATTAACTTTTAAAAGAATGCAAGAAACATGTTCTAATTTGCAGTTTTGATGGAAATAATTTTTTAAATGCATAATGTTAGTCCTTTAAGCCGAGAAGCATTTTATAAATCTATGACTCCTGCAAACATTTTATCTGGTTTTCGAAAAAGTGGAATATATTCATTTAATCGAAATATATCCATTGAAAGTGATTTTTTAGTCATATGTAACAGATAGACCTTTTGTATCCGAACAATCATCAGCTCACGATCCTGTACCGTCGACTTCTGAAGTAAACTCAGAATTACAGTCATCTAATCCAAGTTTTGAACAAGGACAAATTACGTATTTACCGGAACAAATTTGCAGTTATCCGAAAGCTAAACCGAGACTTCAAACAAGAAAACAAAGATAAAAAGGAAAAAGGAAAATTTGAATTCATCTCCAGAAAGAGAAGCCATAAAAAAATCTAAAATAGAAAGAAATTAAAAAATGAAAAGAAAACCTATGTCAGATATCGTCAACGTGAAAATTGCAAAAAAAATATAAAGCCGAAAGATAACAAAAAGAAAACTGATAAAAGTAAAGAAAATTAATTGGCAATTAAGAAGGAAAAAATTGTTAAACGAGGAAGACCAAAGAAAGTTAACAAAAATAAAACTAATGAAAGTAAAGAAAATTTATTGGCAATTAAGAAGGAGAAAATTGTTAAACGAGGAAGGCCAAAGAAAGTTGTCAAAATTGACTAGAGTAATCTATGAAAAGGGACCTTTGTATCAAAAAATCATTTTTTACTTTTTTGTTGATACGGATAGGGTTTGAAACGCCCTTTAAGATGGTGAAAACCAAAAAATCATAAGTTGATTAGAAGTTTAAAAAAAAATTTTAAAGTCAAATTTTTTTGGTATTATACAAATTAAAATAACGAAGACGATAATTTTTTATTATTTAGAAAAGTTGACAGTTTCTTTGACAACTGTCAACAGTTAAAATTCAAATTTGATATCATATTTGTAATCAGCGACCTCAAAAACCTTATTACTGTCTTTTTTTACAAAAAACGATCACTTTTTAGAGAAGTTGACAGCTGTCAACTGTCAAATTGTCAATTTAACATCATATTCGTAATCAGCGGCCTCGAAAACCCTTACAAACATGTGTCACTTATTTATACTTATTGTTGCTAGTTAGAAAACTTAGATTATTTTTTCTATGTTTGGGGAGTTTGTTATTAATTTATATAAACAATTATTAAAAAAAAATTTCATTACATGTATGTTTTTTATTTAGATACTGTAATTCACGGTGAAGAAAATAAGCCTAAATTGATTGAAAAATATTAATATTTAAAAAAGTTACAAGGGTTTTTCTAAGTTAAACTTTAACTGCTGTTTTCTCGAAAACTTGTTTTCGCACGTAAGGTCCCTTTTCACTGTCCAGGTCACATATATTAATATTAAATATGCTTTATTTAGGTTATAAATGCCTTTGAACACTCACCAAGATTCATTTTTCCATTTTATAATTACGAGGCATTGTCTACAACAAGAAAATTAATAAAATAGATGTAGATTTCAACTTTTTGTTTTAAATAAGTTAGTTTTTATAATAAAAACATATAAGAAGAGAGAAAAATTGAATTTTTTATTAATACTAGAAAATTCACTTTGAGGTGAGACGAAATACATGGGAATCAGGGGGGATCATCTTGTACACCCATTGAGGGATCATCTTGCCCCAAATGCCATTATTTTGTAATTTGTTCGTAACTTAACCTACGAGCTCTGTTATTCCATAATACCAATCAGAACACTTAATTAAAGATATACTGAAGCTGTGAGTACAAGAAAAATGGAATTTCAGCTGCTACAACAAAAGTTATCTAAGTACACAGTTAAGCTTTCCTTAGATCAAAAGTATGAAATTTTTATTTTTTACAATAGAATTTTTTTAATGACGCGTGTTGTCATGACAGTTTGACTGATTCATAGGTATGTCATTGACAACGTATTACCGTATTTGCCTAAAAGATTACGCTAATAGGCTCTCCAAAATTTAAAAGGATCATCTTGCCCCAGGGGATCATCTCGTACACCTTTCCCCTATGTATTATTGGAACATTTATTTGTTTAAAAAATTAAAAATGTTACATTCTATTAAATTTCTATGATTTCTTTACTAAAAAAAGTACTAAAGACTGAGTTGTATATTTTAAAAGAAAATTAAAAAACGTACGTTTTAAACTTTAAAATTTGTAAAGTTTTTTATTTAGTTTTTCTAATTTATCTGTTGACTGATAATATTAGAAAATTTTATTACTTAAGAGATTTAATTAGTTTACTCTCTCAGGTATGTTTGTTTTTTTAACTATAAACTAGGGGGGCTTCGCCCCCCTGCGCGCGCCAACCCCCTATTTTTATTTTAAAATTAAGTTTTAAATTAAGAATTAAGTAATAGGGGAGAGGTACGCACGTTGAGACGGGTTCTGTTTTTCAGTTATAATTTTTAACAAACAAAATTTAGCGAAAAATTCGAAATGCTTTCTTAAAAGTATTGTCCAGGGCTACAACATTGCCAAAGAAAGTTATTTTTTTGGACAAAAATGAAAAATTTATAGACGATTTTTTAAACATGTTATTTTTGACCCAAAAAAAGTGGTACGCACGTTGAGACACCCATAATAATTTATTTTGAATTGAAATAAAATGAATAATTACGTCAGATTCTAATTGTTTGTTGTTTATTTACTTGTTTTGATAGTCTTAGCGCAAAGAAAAAAATTAAAACATTAAAAATTAACTTAAAGAAGATAATCAAACCCTCACAGCACCGGGATATTCAGGATATCCCAGAGACGTCCTGGGGATATCGATTTGTTTTCGGAAGTTTGGATATCCCTGGATTATCCTCTGGATATCCATGGACGTCCCTAGGATATCCCAGAGATATCCAAACTTCCGAAAACAAATCGATATCCCCAGGACGTCTCTGGGATATCCTGAATATCCCGGTGCTGTGAGGGAAAAATTAAATTTTTATTTTCGCAATTTTTACAGGTAAAGAACATGTAAAACGCTTAAAAATTGTGGATTCAAAACCAATTTTAATGGCAGTACTATTTTCACATCGTGAGCGTTTTAACCTGCGTACCAATAAACTTTTTTGTATTATCAGTTACACAGGTTATAATATCTTAGTGTCTCAACGTGCGGACCGTCTCAACGTGCGTACCTCTCCCCTAATATTTATTAATTATTATCAATATTGGTTTTTATCCAAATTCAGTGAAATTAGTGTTTGTTGAAATTATTTGTTTCATTGAATTTGTTTACAAGATACACTACGGGGAAGTAACCAATTTCGTAACTCAAAATCTAAATAAAATTTAATTAGTCATGTCTTATGTAAAGATTATTATATAAAATGAATAAAAAATTTTCAAAAATGATTTAAAAAATGATATAAAATTATATTAATATTTTACAATCGATACTAACAGTAGAAGGAATTTACTTATAGAAATTTTGATGAGAAATGATTTTTAGATGATGAGACATTTTTTATTTTTCAAAAAATTTTCTTATCAATTTTTTATTGGAAGAAGAAAAATTAATTTACAGAAATTTTAAATAGAAATGATTTCTAATTGATCAGACATTTTTATTTTTTCAAAATTTTCTCGAAAAATTTTTTTAAGTTAAAAAAAAATTATTTTGCACAATTAATTGATTTATAAATTTTATAGATTCAGATTGTAGTATTTGAAATCAGGTCCGAAATATAACACATGACTAATTTCTTTTTATTTACATTTTGAGTTAAAAAATTCGTTACTTCCCTGTAATATATCTTAGAAAAAATTCGCTGAAATAAATAATTATAATAAACAATAAAGCAGGAGAATTAGTTTAATTAATAATATTAATACAAAAATTAATATTATTTTTGTAAATTTAAATTAAAATTTATTTGAATTGATTTTAATTTGTACCTAATATGAAGTCGATTTTAAAT